ACAGATGACTCACTCGCTGTCCTAAAAATGGGCTTTCTGAGAGCTTCTAGAAAGGATTTCTAAAATCCTTCACCATTGAATTTCACTGCCTGGTCCTACACACTGAAGAACAGAACTCAGGCATCTGTAGCCAAAGCTCTGTTTTTAAGCCTGGAAGATGTCTCAGTGCATATTCTGGCAGAAGGGTGTTAAGAAAACCATCTTCGTGATGTCAGCCAAAAGCTTACTTCTACAACAGTCAGCTAGGGATTGATAGGAGAATCTGGAGATTCTTATCTACATTATTTGGTTTGCTGCTTGTACTTGTTTCAAAGTACAGTGTGTAAATCAACTCCAAGTGCAGAAGGAGAGGAACTCTGTTTCGAATGTGTTTCTATGTTACATATATGATCGTGTGTAACATGGTCCCAATCCTATACCATGGAGTTAAATATATGAATGTTCAGTTCAAGGTGCTACATCTCGTGATGGATGCCAAAGGGTTTTCTACCAGCTGGGCACATGCAGGCTACATGGTGAATAAAAGCTGAGAATTTAATATCACATCCTGAAGGTCACCAGGTTGGCACTTGGCCAAATGCGAAGGTAAAAGAAATCCTGCAGGACCAGGATTTCCAGGCAAAACTGTGACCTTCCCGTCTCATTAGGTTCAAATCTCAGGCATTCACATGGCTGCTGGGCTGCATTTTGATAGGAAAAAAAAATCACTAGAGCAGAGTCTACATTCACCACTAATCTTTTCCGTGTGTTTTTTTTTTCTCCTTTCTTCTCCATTCCTTCTGTTCTTCTCCAAAAGGTATTTGTTAAATAAGATACCTTGTTAGAGGGGAGGGTATAGCTCAGTGGTAAAGTGCGTGCTTAGCATGCACCAGGTCCTGGGTTCAATCCCCAGTCCCTCCATTAAAATAAAAAAGTGAAAATAAAGCTAATTACTTCCCCCAAAACAAAAAAATAAATAAAATAGTTTTTTAAAAAAGATATATTGGTAAAATTGCTGTTATGTGTATGCACTAATATTCCTTAGATTGTTTTTAAGTTTCATGATTAGAATCATTGCAAAAGTCCACTTGGCTCTCAGTGGTAACTAAGAAACGTGACAATCTCAGACTGTAGGCAGAGGCTGAGAGTCGTTTCAGTCACGAAAAGGAGCTTATGGAACAACCTCTACCTGGTCTAGAAGTTCAGTCTTATCAACCTGCAGGTCCACGTCAACTGAGCACCAAGACTGTCAGTGATGGCAGGACCAACTTGCAGGACAGGACACCTTGAGGATCCAGCCCAAAGACGCCCCTGCCTGTGGAGCCAGCAGAGCCCTGCGTGTGAGTGTGTGTGCATGTGCATGCATGTGTGTGCATGCAAGTGTGATGCTTCGGGCATTGGGGATACAGCTCTGAAGAGGACCTCTAGCTTCATGGCAAAAGATACCATTTTAGCTAGTGAAAAGTGCAATGAAGAAGACTAAAGCAGGAGAAAGGAAAGCAAGACGGAAGTAAGAGCCTGTGCGTGTGCGTGAGCAGGACGTGTACACGGCAGACGTGTCTGTCCCAAAGCACTGCTCTCAGTCAGTGTAACAAGCACTGCGCAGGTACAGCCGTGTCTACCACATAAAGGTTACATCGGCACCACGCATCCCCTACTTTTTATCCGTCACTTTTCTGGGGTGTTATGTGCTTGTTTGGACCACCGTGGTGGCACCCCAGTCCTCAGGACTGAACTGATTTATTCTATGCGTTCACTTCTAGGATGTTCCTTGCCTGCAGGACATGGTAGGACATTTTGGCATTCACTAACGCAGGTAAGAAATAATCTGATTTCCAGGTCCCTTAGAGCGTTTTTACACAGCTTTCAGTCTCTGTTTCGTTGATGTGGAAAAGCCAACAGATTGCTCTACTAATTATATTGGTTGTGATCGTTTCAGAAATTCAAAGCTTTCTGGATCGTCACGGCAGGATGGAGGGCCAAAACTCAACACGCCGTGTGAAATTCAAAGCCGTGTTATCATCACACTCCGTGCAGGGAGGAAGGAACAAAACGACAAACACCACAAACGACACCGTGGACGCGCATCGGCCGGAAGAGTGACTCGGGACAGCCTCCTACCTTGCCTTCCTTGGCCTGCGGGTACACAGCGTAGTAGAGGCAGGACTTGTACCCTAAGCGGAGGATCTCCTTCAGAAAAAACTTGGTGTAGTGCCGAAAGACGGGGTTCAGGGCAAAGTGGTACAGGCGCCCGTGCTCCTCGCGCTGGTGGTGGCTGAAGTAGATGAAATCTTCAATGTTGTAATGGGATCGTATGTACTCGATGTCCTGCACAGGAGGCGAGAAGGGCATCTAAGAACGTTGCAAACACCTGGCGTGCATTTTCTGAGAAACAGCCTTGCAAAATCGCTGTAGACACCACAGTAAGAAACGCGTTTTTCCCTCCTGTTATTTCCTACCTCGTCTTCATTGTGAATGTTTTGTGAGTTAGAAAGACTGTGTTTCTCGAAGGCCGCTCGTCTGGGTGGCTCTGCTTCTGGGAGGCGGCTCGGCGCTTCGGCCCGGGCTGCTCACAGCTGCGCC